CTGGCAAATAATAAGCCCTCAAAATTTTGTGTGACAAAATCTTAGCTGGCAATGCTACATACATCAACAAGTGATCTCTCCTAATAATATAGCTTTAAGAATAGAAAAGAATATGCCTTAAAACATAATGCAATTTGACAAAATTCAATTCAATAAAATTGACTCCAGATTTACACCAAGAAAAAGAAATTACACATGACAAATATCTAAAGTTACTTTTATTACTTAATTTATTTGGGCAAAATATTCTAAGCACATAAAATACCCTTTAAAATTACAATGATGGCCTTAAGAGACATGGAGTTTAAAATTCCTTTTACATTAATCAGAAACACTAAAATTCCACTCTATTTTAATACTAGGAAAATACAACCAAGAAACAGGTAGCATCTCTCTAAAAGAAGAGGAAAATGTATTTTGAACTTAGAGAATTCAAAAAGTCACAAATGGTAACTGTGTCATGACGGAGCAACATCTAGCTTCAAGACCAGAGCTCACACATTTCTTAAAGGAACAAAATCTAAGAAAAACTAGTGTCAGGGAATCCCTTATTCTCCCACTGACTTACTACATGAATCTACACAAATCACATGGCCTCTTAAGTGTCAAGTATTTCATCATTAAACAGAAATCATGCTGGTCACTTCTCTCACAGGGATATCAGAATATTTTTAAATAAACTCAGGTCACCTTGAAAAAGAACTAGTTTTAAAATACAAAGAATTACTATAAATGACAACTGTGAAAAAAGAAAAAATTTTGCTTAAAAAGTCCACCTTTAAGATAATTTTTAAAGTCTATATAAGACCATAAATTACCACCAAACCTAACCTAGTATGCTCAGGATATTAAAATAAGCATGTTCAGCTGAACAGTTAGTTGTCAGACTTCTATAAAGGTTCCTAGTCAGTTATTTCCCATTCACTTTTATGGCAAGTAAATGTGATAAACAGAATTAAAGTTACATTTCTCTAAAAGCAATTCTTGTTTCATTCAGATTTCCTAATCGCTTCACGTAAATGGAAATCTTAATTTAAAATTTTAGAGTTTCTTACAAATTATGCTTTTCCTAATAAACACCAGAAAGGAGGACTAAATGAAATTATATAAAATGCAAACTACTGGTTTTTATTTACTCATATTATTAACACATTTTATTTTGAGAAACTAAAAATGCCACAATGGGGTATATCAAACATGTAACACAGATATGTTCAAATATTTCTGACAGTTTGATGGCGGATTGGTACCAAAAAGATAAACATGAAATTAGTTGAAGAAGCCTTAGAAAATACATTTTTCAAATAAATTAAAAAAAAAAAAAAAAGAAAAGAAAATACGTTTTTCAGTGGGGTAGTCTGGCTCCAAGTAAAGAAAATTTTGAATTGGTACAGCTTTACTCATACTTTTGAAATTTAATAATGACTACTATGAAGAACCAAGTTTACTGCCATAGTAAAAACTCACTTTTCATCCCTAAAAATAATCTTACGTAGACAGTTTTTCTTTTTTCAACGTACAACTTTTCCTTAAAAGCAGACAATATTATAATAGATCTCTAGAACAGGTTCAAAAATGTTCTCAAATAACTTTAGTAAACAAATTGTTGAATGACTTTAAAAAGGAAGCATCCTATACACACTTTTCAAACACTGGAAATTATTTGATGTTCAACTCTGACTTACTTTCATTATTCACTTGAAATCTCTTTTCACATAACAGAAGTTATTGATAACTCTTCAGAGTCAAGACAAACAATAAGTGATATTGTTGAAATTTCCTTTAGGTATACTAGAAAATATTTCCCCAAATAATATAACCAGGATTATAAGATTACTGGAACACTTCTGATCTCTCCTTTCACTGAATTTAAATTTTTTAAAAATGGAAATAGATGATTAGCCACTGGCGAATATTCCAGCCAACAGAGGGGAAGCAGAATGAATAGACTACACTCTTTAGGGAAACAAATTATTCTCTCCAACTAGGTTACTAGTTTAAATTTTACAATTTGAATTTTACACAATGTTTTCTCCTTTAAAAGTGACGTATTTAACTGGTCTGAACCAAACAAGACATATTTTTAAATTTAAAGAAATTTTAACTGTAGATATCATAATGAAAGCTTCCATACAACCTATATTACTCACAAATTACTAAATATGTAGAATTGGGAAAACAAATTGGGAAGAACTAATTCACTATAACTTAGTTCCAAAGTCTCAAGAGAAAAAGAATCAGTCATATAAACCCAATATCTAACGCACTTATTCAAATATCTTCCTAAGAAGACAACCTCTAAAAATAAGTTGCTTCAGTTCATGAAAACTAAGCAAGCAGAACTCCTCTTTTCATTATCTTTAGGAGAAATATGTTTATCCCTTGATATACATCTTAGTATTTTAATTAAATAAAAGTTGTAGAGATAATCACAGGAATATATAAGGGCCTTTAAAACATTTATATGAAGTCCTTGCCACCCCCAGCACCAAAAAAGCAAACCCTCTGTTTTCTTAAGATGTGTTCTCCCCGTCTGCATTCCCTCCCTGGCATGCCCCCCACTCGCACACCCCCCACCCGCAGTAGGCCTGAGGCCCCGTAGCAAACAGTGTCTAACAGGAGCAGGCAGCACAAAGACAGGAATGGGAGATTAGTGGGAGGGAGGGAGGCCGGGATTGGGGCTCAGCAGGAGCTTCAGGCTTTTTAAAATTCAAACTGCTCCCTGACCAATACAAATCACGGACACGCTACTGACTACTACACGGATTTATAGCATTAAAAACATGCCTAGTACGTGACAGCTATATTAACTTCATTCTTTTAAGCATTTATCCGTACATTTGCAGGAAATGTGGAACAATTTATTGTAAGCAGGACGCTAAACTAAAAAATAACCTTCACAAAGTAACTCACTCTACAGTGACAATAATTTAACGACACAAAAAATTTGAACCAATGTAACATAAACTAGTAAAACAAGAGATTTCGCTGAGCAGTGCCGCTTGATTTTAACCAGTGAAAGTTTTCCTTCAGCGAATATGAAACAAAGTATCAAAATAGTGTAACCCAGGTACATTTTCCTAGCTATTTGCCTGAGGAATTTTTAATTGGCGTTTCCCTCTTATACCAACCTATATTACGAACGCCTCCATAAACAAGCTCGAAACACTTAAGTTACTCATGAACTAGAACTTGTCAAGTTAGAACTGACATTTTTCTCCATCATTTACAGATACATTTGACCTATTAAAATGACACCTCTCTCATTACACAGTCAAACATCATGGCACAAACAGCCAATGACAATCCTGGGACCTCAAGAAGAACTGCCCTGACATGAAAGGATGGCACCTTCTACAATTTTTCAACCTCCCAAGGATTTTAAGTAAACTTAATTTTTTCTTCCTTTTTTTTTTTTTTTTTCTTAAAAGAAAATCGGTTTTACCCGTATCTCAGCAAAATTCTGAGAACACTTAAAATTTCTTTTATGCTCCTACACCTTTTGGTCAGGAAGTACCTGAGTGTTTTATGTACAGTAGTTTGAAACTGCCCTTACATAACGCATACAAATAGAAAGTGGCAGAGTAAACCTGTCAAGTACTTTATACTTGTCTTTGAATAAAAAGTCCATGTGCAACAACACTGTCAAACAACAAAATAAAAAGCTCTTGGAGGGGGAGATGTGCAGTGTCTACCATAGTATGGTTTTCTGTATTAAATATTCATGCGGACGATTTAATTCTTTAAAAAAGAAAATGAGTCTTTATGAACTTTCCAACGTCGAAACAAGTTTTACAAAGAGAAAGAATTACCTCGGGATCCGTGTCTGAGTATTTACGTTTGTCTCACTAACTGAAACTACTTCCTCCCTTCATGGGGTCACAGGGGGAAGAAGGGGGGTTGTTTGTTTCACTGGGACGTTCCCCACTCCCGGACCGGGAAAGTTGTAAATATGGGGACGATCAGGGCACATTTGCTGTTAGTTGTATTGTTTCCGCCTCCTCACTAGCTACGGCTCCTCTCCCGGGCGAGGCCTGTCACCGACCAGCAGTCGCTCCGCTCAGCCCGGAGCTCTCCTAATCCCCGAGCTCAAGTAGATTCCGCTGGCCCGCGGCCTGCACTCTCCGCCGGGCCTACGCCTCCCCGGCCGCCCGGCAGGAGCCCAGTCCCCGCCACCGGAGCCGGCCGGGAGAGGGTACAAAACCACCGCCACCCAAGGCGGCTGCCACCAGAGAGGAGCGAACTCTAGACTCGCCCGTGGAAGAGACCTGGGGCCGCTAAGGAAACGGCGGGGAGGGGAGCGAGGAGGAGAGACGCTGAGGACCTGGCGCCGCCGCCGCCGACGCCGCCGCCGCCGAAATAAAGAGCAGGAATTTACCTGGGCGAATCGGCGTCTGAATCCAAGGGGAGGCCGAGGCCGCTGTGGCGAGAGACTATAATCCGGGCCAGGAGTGGGGGTGGCTACGGCTCCTCTTCCGTCTCCTCAGTGCGGGGAACATGTAGAGCCGGGGGGAGACCAGCCGAGAAGACAAATCGTTGCTGCTTCTTCCTCCTCCTCCTCCTTCTCCCACATAGAAACACTCACAAACACCCGACCAGGGGCCCGAGCTACCGGGGGGGCATCGCCGCGGGCCCGGGAACCAATCCTCCTGTCGGCGGGGGCGTCCCTCCCTGCGGCTTGGTGGTGGCGGGGGGGGCGGGACCGGCGGGGGGGGGGGGGGGGAGGGTGGGGGGAAGGAGCCCTGTGTGTGTCTCTCTCTCGTTCCGTCTCTCCCTCTCAGAACAAAATGCCGACCGGAAGTGCAGCTGCAGGAATGACTCCCTCCGCCGGCGCCAAACACTAACAACCACCCCCTCTTCCCCACTCCACTTCCGCCACCGCCGCCGCCGCCGCCGCCGCCGCAGCCACTGCCACTTGGGCTCGCGTCCTCGGCCGCTCCGCGCACGGGCCCAGCCGGGGCCAGCAGCCGGGCGGCGGCGGCTCTCTTCTACACGCTTCTCCTCAGGGCGGCTGTGGATGTTGCCAGTATTGTCGATGCTTCAGAGCTACGTTTGCCCCGCGACACGGGCGGGCCGGCTCTCCTCGGTCTTTATTTTCCTGGAGGCCGATGGGAGCGAGGCCCGAGTTCGGCAGTGGTCGTGAGCGTGGGGGGCAGTCAGGCCCGGACGTGCTCGCAGGTCGCCGACGGCGGCAGCTGAAGGCCGCGCTGGCTGTCCCAGGTCGTCCTTAGCTTTAGGGAGCGGAGCTCTGGGCGGCCCCGCAGAGGACGCCCGCGATTCGACGGCGATGGTGCCCGTTTTAAATGGTGTCCCTGCAGCCGGGTGGATGGATGGATCGTACTCTTCTCCTTTTGAGGCCGGGACCTTACGCCCTCTGCGTGTTATTTCTGCTGAGTAAGAACGCAGCCCTTGGAAGTGAAGACGACTCTCGACTGGACTGAATTGGAATGGTGTTTGTGATGCGTTTATTTCTGGAAATATGCGGTCTCCGCTGCTCTTGTTTTTTGTTGGCAGAGGTGGTTCTTCTCTAACCGTCGGGATAAAGGCCTGTAGGCGACGCTGCGCTAGCGCTAAGCTGTGCTGCGACGGCCCCGGCGCCCCCCTCTAGGTGTGGGTGGAGCCGAGCACGCGGGGAGAACCGCCGGCCCCTACTCGGCCACCGGCGACTGCGGGCGACCGGCGGGCCTGCGGCCAGCTGATTTCAAACATCGTTTTCCTCTTTAGGTTTGGAACACTGAGGCGCTGGACAAGGCTGGAATACAAAATGTGATTATACGTGCAGTACCATGCTTGTTGTAGTTTTTAAATTGTAAAACAAGAAGTAACTCCGTCGTTCCACAGTTCTCTATTAAATTTGTGTAAATTAAAAGGGGGCTATTCTTCAGGTTAAAAAAGTGCAGTAGGTAAGCGGATTTTTACTCAACCGGGACGAAATTCATGTTGTATGAATTGTATTATTTGTGTGTGTACCAGTGGGCTAAAAGTGATTAGGAAAACTTGCTTAGATCATTCCTTTTGCCTCAGGCCACTGAGGGGGCCAAGATCCCGTCACTCCTTTGCTCTAGGCCTTGCGACGGCTTCCCGTCTTGAGGGGTGTGAGTGAAAGCCTTGACGGAAGTCCCCGCGCGCCGTGGGGGGTGGGGGCGGGCCTGCCCTGGCATCCTTGCGAGTAGGACTGTGTCCTCGCCGTTCCCTCTGCCAGGTTCTTCCTTGAGCGCCCGTAGGGCTTGCTTCTTCACCTTCAGGGTTTTGCTCAAGTGTCACTCTGTGCTTCTGCGGCCACTTTTAAACTGCAGGTTCCCTAGCCCCCTTCTCATTTTATCCTTTGAACAATCTACATATTCGTATATGTTTATGTTCTTCTCTCTCCTTCCGTAGTGGAATGTAAGCTCTAAGAGGACAAGAGGTTGTGTTTTTCTGCACTGGTGGTGTGCCCAGCTCCTGGAATGCCACACAATAGATGCATGGTATTCGGTTAATGAATGAATGACGATTATAAGGGCCTTGACGATCCCCATTTCTGTCTTTGATATGTACTTACATATATTTACATGCTGCAGAGAGCTTTATAAAAGATTTAAAGTTTATAAGAGAATTCTATAAAAAGAGATTGCTTCTAAACTTTGGAAAGCCCTCCGCAACACCAGAAACCCACAAACAAGGAATAAAATTTGTTTTTAGGCTTCTGTAAATGGGAATGCCCGAGGACAGTGCATAAAAAATGATCATATCCATACTGGGCCGATTGGCTTTGCTCTCCTGAGTCTCAAACTGCATTCTTCATCTTGTCCTCTGTCTTGCAAAATAGATTAAAAGTGTGAGAATTTATTTGGTTGGCTCAGCCCAAATCCAGCACTATTGGAAAAGTTCATTCAGCAAATATTTATTGGGCACAAGTGGGTACCAGGCACAGTGATTCAAAAGGTGTGTGTTTCTGAGGCTAGGACTTCATATAGGACCTTACATAAAGGACCACATAGGGCTACTTTGGTTGCTACTCAATTATGCTGTCAAGCAAAGCAAATACTAGTGAGATTTATTTTTAGTTTTCTTCTGAAGAAAAGGTTCAGTGAAAGCTGAGGTCAGGCTTAGTGTGGATATTTTAATTCATCATTTAGTTTGCTGTTTGCTTATGCTTAGGGTAGCACTAGATTTACTTAATCATGATTTTTGAGTACTATAAAACAAACGTGGGAAACTGTATTTCCTAGTTGCCGGAAAAGTAGGCTTTTTAAATTAAAATAAGTAAACATATCAGTAAGCTAGAAGCTATGCAGTAAGGCTTTGGCTGTGGTATTCCGAAGTTTCATATTTCGTGTATTGAATTTTTGGACAAGAAAAGACAGCCTTGATAGGTATTTCATAACCATTAATACAATTAATGAAATATTGTTTCGTAAATCCAATATTATTTTTCCTATTAATCTTCAGAACAGCTTTAATACAGATGGCTCAGAATGTGTTTTTCACTGTTTCAAAATACCAGTATTTTAATTTGCTAACAGAAGCACAATTATTTTCTTGTCTGCTTTCTTAAATGTTACTGGTAAACTAGTAATTTTAGATGTCCAGGTAACTGCAGCTGCTACAGTCAGCCTACTGTGGAAAGTTTTGGCATTATTGTGTTATTTAATTTAAATTTTTTGTTTCTTCCCCTTATTGAGTACTTATTAGTTGCTAATTAGCTTTATGCTAGGCACCTCATACATGGTAGTGAATGAAAACACAATACTACTTCATTGAGGGTTTTAACTTGTATATAGTTTATACCACTTTTTTTTTCCAGATTATAGAATTAAATAAATTTCCATGAATATCACAGCATTTCTCTATTAAATAGTATTTTACTTGTGTAAATTTAAGTATCCAAATTAAGTTCTTACTTAGAATCTGTTAATCTTAGTGTTTTCTTTATTTCATTGCCTTGGTGTTTTGGGTTTTGTTTTTTTTTTTTTTTTTTGCTTAATATTTTTCCCAATACCATCCATTCGTTTTGCTCTTATATTTTTAAGTCTTTTATGTTCCAAATCAGGTGACTTACGTGCTTGACTTGTCCATTTTAGTTTGGAGGATAGCTCAATAAATCTTTATTCTGACTTTAATTGCCTCCTTGCTTTAATAACTGAGTTGCATGACTCAGTTTTCTTTGCTAGGAATATACCTGGATAGTCTTATCTGTATTCTAGATCAATGAATTGCAGAAGATTTTATTAAAAATTTTAAATGGATTTCAGGTATAAACTATCTGTATCAAATGTCATCACCAGGAATTTCTACATCTGAAAAATTATGAATTGTTATTTTTATTGAAGAATATTTATCTTTAAGATAAATGTAATTTGCTATAAAATGATAGTAGTGAAAAATTTTAGAAAATCATTTTCTTCTCACTATTTTATGCCTGCCGATTATTGTTTGTTAGTGATAAATTGTCTCTTATGGGAACAAATTTGTTAAAGTTAGAAAAAAAACTGGTAGTATATGTATGTTTTATAGATTAGACTCTACCAGAATTATTTCACATTTAGAATAATTAAATTGCTTTTAGGTTGATGGATGACGTAAGAAAATGATGAAGAGTTAATTAAAGATATTGATTTTTAAGGCAGAGCTACAAAATTATCAAATGACTTAGCACTGTAAATATGTTCCTGTTTCAGGTTTTCAAAGTAAATACCCTAATCAAATTTGGAAATAGTATTTATGGAGTTTATTCAAGATAGATTATCCATTTTGTTAAAATTATAGAAACGAATAGTTCTTTTCCTATGGATGTCTTTTTTCATCTTGGCCTATTCTGGTCCTTTAAGAGCAAGCTTTGTCCTTTCATTAATACTTCTCGCCTATAACTGTGAATTTTCTCTAAACTTGTAGATTTTATTATGCACACCATCTATTTATAATCCTATGGCACTCCAATATTATGTTTTTTTGTATCTATGCCTTATGTTCCTAAATCAAAGTGACCAGTTCCATGTTATACTAAAAGTTTCACTTTGTAATGCATATGGAATTACACATAGGGAAGGGCCTCAAAAAATACACTTCTGAAATATTTCTATGTAAAATTATTTAAGATCATAAAGTTTCATGAAAGCCTAATCTTCCTGGAACCTACACATATTCTGGATGTGAACCAGAGTTAAGCTATTCAAGTATTTTAATACTGAACTAATCTGGAAAAACATCAGTTAAAAAATGACTGTATTTATGAAGGAAGAATACAAAATCTATTAAAAATTTAAAACATTTAAAATAGGTATGAAGGGAGGCTTATGGTGCTCATTTTAACAGCTCTCTTAAGTAGGTTAGCTTGTAGTCAAAGCATCTGCTCCAAACCAGTGTTTTAAACTGTGGATTATAGTACCACTATGGTTATGAAATTAATTTATTGTGTTATGACTAGTATTTTTTATTTAAAACATAGAATAGGAAATAGAAGAGTACATCACAGATGGTAAAGGTATATGTTTTTAAGTAAAGATTTTTTCATGTGTATGTGCTGGGTTACTTTGTAAAATATATTCCTTACAGTGGGTTACAGGCCAAAAAAAGTGTTTGCTTTTATTTTTAAAAATCTACAGTTCATATTTTCCTTAGAAAATGGGGAAAAAAAAGGAATGTTAGAAAGATGTGACTGCCCATGAACTGCTGAAGGATTTTAGAGGAACACCAGGGTATTTTAGAGATCTGATACTGGTTTCAGAAAGGTAATGTTAAGACAAAGAGTAGGAAATAAAGTATGTTGTTAGTAGAAATGTGAAATATGGTTAAAGTTGTGAAGAGGAATTATTTTTCTAGTGGACCTACATTTGTTGTGTTTAGATCTGTGACTATTATTGATCTGTTATAGCACATTTTCCAATCTAAAATGTCCAATACAGCACAATAATAAACATGGGGCAAAATACATGTTTGTTTCTATTTCTTCCCACCTTCCCTTCAATCTTAAAACAAATTTTTACTAGTAAGTCAGAGCAAAGCAGTTTCTATCTTTCACAGAGTAATTATCTTAGGAACAGCTTATTCCCTGAAAATGATGACAACTCTTTTCTCTCTCTGAAAAATAAACCTTCAATAAGATTTTTCTCTCTAGCCACAGTAAATAAGAATTTATTAAGTAGGTAACTCTCATTCACCATCCAACTCATTCTATATATTTGAATAAATGTACTTATAATTGTGTACAGGATTTAAAAGAGGGAAACTTAGGAAGGAAGAAAGGAATTGTGTATAAGAATTTAAAAGGGAGGCATTATATTGTTTAAATAGAATGAAAAGTATCTAACCAGAAAGCAAATAAGGTAAGGATTCTACTATACTGAAATATTTTAATAAAATTTAAATATTGCTCTTTCACTTTATTTGCTATGTGTACATTTCAGTATTATAATGTTGGCGAGTCTATTTAAGAGCACATTAGTAAAGATTTCCTTTTTCAGGCATGTGATACCAAGTCCCTTTCCATTATAGATAAGTAAGGCCTAGGTTGGTTAAAACCTTAGCTAAACACAAAATTTGCTAGAGAATCAACATGTTAAGAAGCTCTAACTCTAAGCTTATTCACCCCAAATATTTCACCAATGTAATACACACCCTGTTGAACTAAGGAAGGAATTGTATTACTAACCAGCAGAGGGAGCCAAGTCAATCATGAAAGGTAGGAGTATAAAGGAACATCATATGACTTCCTGTTTCGAATTTAACTGTGTGGCCTCTGTTCGCTTTTTGAGTTTACGAAAAAGACAATCATAAGGAGAGAAAGGCTACCAATGTATATCAAATAACGATAGGGTGACAATCATAACTCAAGATTACCTTGCAAAAAAAAATTGTAAGAAAAATTGAACATAGAAATATAAAAGTGAAATGTCTCGGTATTGTAATTTAAGATGGAAAAACCATGGAAAACAGTACCTTAGAGCCATGATGAATTGCTATCCAAATGTAACAGTGAATATTTCTTAGTAATTCCATTTTGATTTAAAGTTGAAATTAGGCTATAAATTGATACATTTTAAGATTATAAAGTTGGTAGAAATAAGTAGATTGTACATCAAATTTATATGCATTTAATCTAAGAAGGGATAAAATTTAATAAAAAATGATTACAGTGAAGTAATAAGGATGTGATTTTTCAGCTTAAAATTAGAGAATAGGATTTTTCCACTACCGTTTATAAACACAACAAATAAAGTAATATATGTTTTGTGAGAGATGTTTGGAGGAATGTAGTAGCTAAGTAATTACTGTCAGCTTATTTAATTTTGTCTAAGAACTTCAAAATGCCTGATAGAATGGGTGCATATTGAATGAACAGATGTGATCTATTTATTATTTAGAGTAAAACTATAAAAGCTGAGCATTAGGTAACTGCATCAAAATGAAGAATGTAAAGACTCAAACATTTTTAGTTAAATAACCAAATGAATTAGCTAGTCTAGCCCCTTAATTGTTGCAAGGTTTGTGGAAACATACCATATATACTTTTACTCATGTGTTTATTCTTTCCAAAAATATACTTCTTAAGCACTTACTATCTCCAAAGGACATGGAGCATATCTTCATTGTGAAGTAGACAAACTTCTTAAATTTTATTGAAAGATTTAATTTCCCTGATATGTGAACAATCATACAAATTCAATATGCAACTAGTGATTTCAAGAAAGTGATACTTAGAAGGAAATCACTTATGGGACTAGACTGCCTTTGTAGGATTAACAAATTAGGCACAAGATTAGAAATTAAGAGTTATGCAGCTGGAGGCTACGAGATTCTGACCCTAAACTGCTCCTAAGATCAGTGCTTGAGATATTCTACACACCCTGCACTTGATGGATCAGTGCTGGCACCACCGAGATCAATAAGCTGGTTCATCAGATCTTGTAGCCCCCGCCCAGGAACTGATTCAGAGCAAGAGGACAGCTTCAATTCCCTATGATTTCATCTGCGACCCAACCGATCAGCACTCTCGTTTCACTTGCCTTCCCTAAAAACTGATCCCCAAATGCTCGAGGAGACTGATTTGAGTTATAATAAAACTCCGGTGTCCAGCCAAAAAAAAAAAAAAAAAAAAACAAATTATTCAATTTTGAGTACTAGAAAGTAGACGGTAAACTTCTTTTATAATGCTATATTATACTGGCATTATTTTATATATTGGCATCTGGTGTTGTCAGTTAATCACAGCAATGATATCCAACATGTACAACTCAACAGTCCTAGAGATAGTTTAATACCAAAAAAAGAAAAACCTCAATGTAACCAGTATTACTGCTTGTAATTGTTTGTTTCCTTTACACAGGAGTTGTGATGAATATGGGCTATTTGAATTGCATAAACAGCCTAACCTTTTAAATGTTTCCACTCATGAAAAATAGCTATTATGAACTTTTAAAAATTAATAAAGTGGCAATAGGTTTACCATGAGCTATTCCTTATTGATAAGCATAATAGTGGGTTAACTAATGTCAAAGTCCAATAAAAACTATTTACTATGTCACCAAAGTCAACATTTCGGAATCTAAGATGTAGTGTAGTTATTTCCGTTTTATCTAGTTTTCATTTAATAATCTCAGATTCTGACTAACAACTCAAAAACCAAAGTCTGGTGAGAAAATAACTTGAATCTTATTCCAAAGTTAGGAATGGTGACAGATAAGGAAAAGCATCAAAAAAGTGACTTCAGTAAAGAAGTTCTCTTTTCCTAAAAAATTAAATATAAAAGTTTAGTCAGGAATTTGTACCCACACGTGAATACTACTTTTAATATTTTTCTTTAGACATTTGAAATATTTTATTTTCTCCTTTAAAAAAAGCACCAAAACCCAAATTTATTTAATATTGTGTTTCTGATTTATCAGCTTCTTTCCATCTTACACTGTCAAATTCTGTACTGCTTCTAAAGCACCTACAATTATCTCTACAAAAACTGTACAATTAACACTCAGCATTGCCTTCTTCCTAATTCTAACATCACCATTCATCAGCTTTCTCCAATAGAGTCAGATGATTACTTACAATCATATCTAGGCAAATGATGTAACTTTTGCTTGATGTATGGGAAAATAGCTTACATTATGAATTTAGAAGAGCTATAGTAGTACCTGACAATACTTTATAGATGGAAAAGTATTTTTAATTTAAAGAATATATTGGACATCTTTCAGAATTTCTGTAAAAATTTTTGACTGTCCATTTTGGCTAGAAGCTTAGAAATGATCATGCTTAATTTTGTGTTTACATTAAATCTTTTGGATTTTAATTCTGTATACAATATTGCTATAAAACATCATAGTTGTGGAATCTGGCTCTTTAAGAAATGCTCACAAGAAAACAGGTTTGAAAACTATTCTGACTACAATGTAGCTATTATATTCACTGATAAGAGTTTAGTATGCCTCTGAATATAAGTAAATCTCTAATTCCCTACATTTTTTGGAATATTAGTATTCTAAGAGTATCAGAATATGAGCTTAACAAAATGTTGAATTTGCATATCCAAGTTGACAGATAATATTCTTAGGTGGGACGTGGCGGCTCATGCCTATAATTTTAGCACTTTGGGAGGTCAAAGTGGGCAGATCACTTGACGTCACAAGTTTGAGACCAGCTTGGGCAACAAGGTGAAACCCCATCTCTACTAAAAATATAAAAATTAGCCAGGTGTGGTGGTGCACACCTGTAATCCCAGCTACTCGGGAGGCTGAGGAACAAGAATTGCTTGAACTCAGGAGGCAGATATTACCCCACATTCAACAAGTAAATATTAAAGAGCTTTACATACAGGATAATATGACAAAATTTGCATTTTAGAATAACTACAATTAACAATAAAAGGAAGTACCTGTAATATTACCCCACAAAAGGAACAATACTTAACGTGTGGTGAACTTGGAAATTTCATACAATTTAGAAATATGTATTGAGCTGTAAAAATGTTCATATTCATGACATGATACTTTCACATCTGGACTCTTGAGGTGCCTATATATTGCTTTTGTAATTTCAATTAAAACAGAAGCATCGCTTCTCGGCCTTTTGGCTAAGATCAAGTGTAGTATCTGTTCTTATCAGTTTAATATCTGATACGTCCTCTATCCGAGGACAAGATATTAAATGGATTTTTGGAGCAGGGAGTTGAAATAGGAGCTTGCTCCGTCCACTCCACGCATCGACCTGGTATTGCAGTACTTCCAGGAATGGTGCACCCTCTCGGGGGACATAACGTGTTTTAAAAAATAGTTAAAAAAACAAAAGATAAAAAACAGAAGGAATGAAGGGTAACTGAATGAAGGAAAGATTGAATATAAGAGAGGCTGGAGAAACGTGAATCAATGAGAAATGTAATGCAACCAGTCAAGTGATTTCTTTTTTAGCAGCAAATTCTCCTTGACAGTAATACTTTCAACTTAATAATATTTTCAACCCACATCTAGAAAGTTTACAGCAAACTTTCCAAGTATTTTGTCTGTTCTAGCCCCAAGGTGCAACTCCAATGCAATCCACGCTTGCTCACCATTCTTGCTGTTTCACTTTCATCACTCCTTCTTAACCAGTTTCTCTTACTACCAACCCTTTCATAATAACTATCTCACCATTGGTTCTCACCATCCCCACACATTTTGGTTCCTTTAAATTAAGGGTAATATAGTCTTAATTGTTCATGTCACCTAGTAGTAAGACAAAAACTAGCATGACTGGGTGGAAGTGAAGATTATGCCATATTTCAGAGGGTTGTATGTTTCCCAGTAGTGAATCACAACTATCAGAAATCCATATGTATGTGGGCCACATACATTTTAAATTATAACAATAGTAGAATTATAACCTATTAGCTATTCAAAGGTATTTAGTTTTTGGCTGAGGACAGTGGCTCATGCCTGTAATCCCAGCAGTTTGGGAGGCTGAGGTGGGAGGATTGCTTGAGTCCAGCCTGGGCAACATAGTGAGACCCCCCCATCTCTAAAAACCATTTTTTTTAAATTGGCTAGGTGTGGTGGTGTGCACCTGTCATCCCAGCTACTTGGGAGGCTGAAGTGGGAGGATCGCCTGAGCCCAGGAGGTAGAGGTTTCTGTCAGTCATGATTACACCACTGCACTCCAGCCTGGGTGAAAGAGAGAGCCTGTCTCAACAACCAGAAAAAAGCATTTAGTTTTACGGTATTACAAAGCAGTGTCACGTTAGTTAAATGAGTTTTATTTATAAAAAGGTATAAAATTATGGGCCAAGTACAAGTACTAGCCTTCAAGTAATTTTGAAGTCAGCGAGAATACTGGTATATAACAGATCAAATGTGGTTCAAGAACCAAAGGCTATTGTTCAACAAATAGTGAGACAACTGGGTAGCCACATGCAAAAGACGAGGACCTTATCTCACACCATTTTGTAAAAAAAATTAGCTCAAAATGGATCAATGACCTATATGTAAAACAAAAACTGTAAAACTCTCAGAAAAAAAAAAGGATAAATTTGTATAACCTTGGATTTGACAGCATTCTTAGCTATGACACCAAAAGCACAAGCCACCGGAAGCCAACAAATAAAAACACCACAAATTGAACTTCATCAAAATTTAAAACATTAGTGCTTCAAAAGACACCATCAAGAAAGTGAAAAAATCCACAGAATAGGAAAGGTATTTGCAAATCATGTATCTGATAAGGTATCTATTTCTACAATATATAAAGAACTCTTAAACTCAGTAAAAAAAAATAACAACCCCACTTAAAATGGGCAATTAATCTAAATAGACATTTCTCCAAAGAAGAAATGCAAATGGCCAATAAGCACATGAAAATATGCTTGACATCACCAGAGAAAAGCAAATTAAAAACCTACAAGATTCTCATTCTTCACTTACAAGGCTTTGTTCTCACTATGATAACCAGAATAAAAAGGTCAGATAACAATTATTGGCAAAGACACAGAGAAAAATTGCAACCCTTATATATTCCAATAGGAGTATAAAATGGTGCAGCCACTTTGGAAAACAGTCTGGCAGTTCTCCTAAAGTGATTAAACATCTAGTTACTATATGACCCAGCAATTCTACTTCTAAGTATATACTCAAGAGAAATGGAAACATATGTCTACACGGAAACTTGTACACATTGGTTTATAGAAGCATTATTCAGGATCACCAAAAGGTGGAAACAACCCAAGTGCCCATCAACTGACAAATGCATAAACAAAATACGGTATCTATATAACGGTGTGTTATGTGGCCATAAAAAAGAATGAAGTACTGATACATGCTGCAACATGAGTGGGTCCTGAAATCATTATGTTAAGTCCAAGAAGCTAGTCACAAAAGACCATATGCTATATGACTGCAATCAAATGAACGGAATATGGAAATCTATGCAGACAGAAAGTAGATGACCGGCTGTTTAAAGCCGAGGGTGGGAGCATGGGTGAGCAGGAGAATAGCTAAAGGGTACAGAGTTTCTTTCTGAGGTAATGAAAATGCTCTAAAATTGACTGTTGTGAATTGCACATATCTGTGAATATAATAAAAAACCACAGAATTGTCCACTTTAAATGGGTGAATTGTATGGTATGTGAATTATATTTCAATGAAGCTGTTTTAAAAAAAAGAGGGGGAACTGTATATAGACAGGGCCCATCTCAATTCTCAGTCCAGGTTTACATTATTGAAAGTGGTCCTTAGATTTTATTTCCGTAGTTTCAGGAAAGAAAATACACATTAAAAAAGTTGGAAGACTCAAGTGTTGCAAGAATTTGACTACAGAGCCAGAAATTTCAGAATAGTGATAGATGATGTATATATTCATTTTTTAAAAAATCCTAGAGATATATGGGTTCTTGGTGAGCATAGTTTGCTTTCAGCTCAATCAGTTCCTCTTGAAGTAGAGCCATGTTGACAAGGCAGATGCTTACAAAATCCAAACATATCTCTCTAAAGTCAGCTACAGAAACTTAAAGCATAATTCATGGTAATGAAAATTAGCGAATTTCTTTTGAAATTCAGATTTTATTTCTACCAAATAGCTCAGTCGTTCTTTAAATTCTGTGATTCCATTTAGCACAGGACAGTTCTGATACGGGACATGAATGCATGCTGCAAGTAGCATCTGCCTACTCCCCAGGTACTGGTATTAATATTAATACCAGTAGTTCCTTCACAGTCTCATCCATTCTCTTACTTTTTTCTCTACAGTCTTAAGTTCAGTGTATTCAGTGTATCTTGCTTGCAACATCAAACAAAATATCATCATATTAGCTATTTGGGCTCAGACAAAGAGGGGTCCATTTAATTACCAAAAGTTTTAGATCTGAGGTAGCATCATTGTAGCTCTCTTCAACAAGCTTCCACAATCTTGTCATCTTATTACATTAAAATAAACTAAATCCATTGCATTTAGAATAGCACAATAACAACAGTAACAACAAAATACTTAGAGCAATCCTTCTGCCTCAGCCTCCTGAATAGTTGGGACTACAGCCACATACCACCATGCCTGGCTAATTTTTTTTTTTTTTTTTTTTTGTAGATAGGGGTCTTGCTATGTTGCCCAAGCTTGTCTTGGACTCCTGACCTCAAGAAATCCTCCTGCCTGAGCCTCCCAAAGTGCTAGGATTACAGGCATAAGCCACAATGCCCAGCCAACAAATATATTTTTTTAAAAAAGAGTTTTGGTGGAGTGTACTTACCTCTCTAAATATTGAAATACATCGTAAAGCTAAAATGGTTGCAACATATTTGCCATGGAAATGTACAGATAGTTGGAAGAAACTCCAGTATGTCATAAGCCAAGGAGTAAGGATAGACTATTTAACAAATGATGTTTTCTAAATATCCATCAAATCTGTCTACTTCTCTCTGTCTCCAGCAACACCAACTTAGTCATCAATTATTATTGGTAGCCAGAAGTGGCTACCATCATTTCTTGCCTATGTTACTGTAGTAGCTTATGGGTTTCTGCCATCCAGAAAGACACTCATCCCCCCAACCCTTTTTTCTGCTTCCATAGTGATCTTTTCCAAACATAAATGTGATCATGTAAGCCTGCTGTTAAAATCTTTAAATAGTTCTCATTACTTTTAAGATAAAGACTAAAATTCTTAATAAGTCACAAGATCTGCATGGTGTATTCTTGCCTGCTTCTCCAGTCTCATCTCTCAACTATTTCTCCCTTGCAGTCCAGCACCAGCCACTCTGGCCCTCTTTCTAATACTTTAAATGATATCATGCCCCCTGCAGCCAAGAAACCCACAATTCCTTTCATTTTGGGCACTTATCTCAGTTTATATTTGTACATTATTGATGTGATTATTTGATTTATGTCTGTCTTCACTCCCTTAACTGTAAATTCCACTAGAGCAAGGACTATGTTTGGTTTATTAGCACCTAACAGAATATGTACTTGATAAATATCTACTGAATGAATCATTGAATAAATAAATGAATACAAAACTGCAATCTCACATTATATGCACTAACTTGCAGATGAAATTCTAAATTTTAAATGTAAAAGCAAAATTAATCCACCATGAGATTATTCAGGTAAGTTAATAGAACTCAGGATATGAATGGACTTTTTAAATATTTTGGAGGGACTCATAGGAAAATGATGTACCACTTAATAAAAACTTAATAAAAATTAAGTTTTTATAATTGCAAAGAAATAAAAACTTAAATGTCTACCAATTGACTGCTTGTTTTAAAATGTATACATATATGTTTTAAAGGATATTGGATTATAGGAGAATAAGCACAAATCATGGTATAGAAAATCAGAAAAAATACATCATAATGCTAATTTTGTTATTTAAAAATTAGTGGGAAAGAAATACACCAAAATGTTATCTCTGAAAGACGGCTTGAAAGTAATTAATTTCTCTTCCCCATACTTTCTTTTATCCAAACTTTTTAGAGTTGATCAAGAATAACCAACTAAAAGATACATACTTTTAAGATTATTAAATAGTTACTCTGAAATATTGCTAAGTCCAGATAGATCATTTCATCAAACATTTATGAAATCGCATTTTTCCGTGCTTCAGAAGCTATTCAGAACTTAAAAGTGATTAAAAATGATCCAATTCATTTTGTTAGCCTAATAGAATTCTGAAACTAAAATGTAACCAAAAATTATTAAAACAAAAACTAAAGAAAATCTTAAATACTAAAAATCTTAATTCAACAGTAATTTAAAGAATACCCCATAATAATTAAGTTCATAACATAATTGCAAACATATGAACCCATTACTATAATATAAATACATCATATCAGCCAGTGAAATCAGAAACACATATGATCGTTTTAACAGATGCTCAAAAGATATTCAACATTCATCTCATATAAAATCTCTCAGAAAGAAAGAGCGTGGGATGGAAAATTATTCAATAAATGGTACTGTGAAAACTGATTGAACATTTGGGAAAATCTATTTAGTGTCTCACTCATCATCTACCAAATCCCATGTACTTTAAAGAGTTAGAGTTAAAAATCAGCAGTACACATCTAGAAGAAAATATAAGGGATTTATATCAAATTGTTGAATGACTAAGGATTTCAAAGCTTCAAAAAGTATGAAAAATTTTATGAAGAGAAAATATAAATTAAGTTATAATATACCAATTATAGACCAAAAAATCCAGCATTTCTTGAATTAATTATCAAATATCTAAATTCTAACTGGAAGATTGGTCTTAGTGGGATAAAATATGCAGAATTTTTAAAAAAGTAATAAACTGGAGACTTTCTTCACTTGTTCTTTAGTTTGTTTAGGGCTTAATATGTATTGCATATTAATATATTTTACACTTTAAAAAAACTCATTCCTCTAACTACTCTTGTAGTTTCAGCAGCAACACAGTGCTTGGCTAGGCACTCTATAAATGTGTGTTGAATGAATGATACACCCCTCCACCCAAAATGGTATATTTCATTAAAAATGACATGTTTCTGGTTTTTATTTTCCTCTCATATACTATCAGGGCAAGAAATAACCTATAGATTGGAATAAAACTTAATGATAAAACCCATGGACTGTAAAATGAGATAGGACTTACTGACATTACACTTTTTGGCAAATCACTAACTTTTTTACAAACAAATTGACAATATGATATTGTCTGTACCAAATCTACTTTAAGGGCGATCATTAAAAAATCTGGAGACAACAGATGCTGGAGAGGATGTGGAGAAATAGGAACACTTTTACACTGTTGGTGGGAGTGTAAATTAGTTCAACCATTGTGGAAGACAGTGTGGCGATTCCTCAAGGACATAGAAATAGAAATTCCATTTGACCCAGCAATCCCATTACTGGGTATATATCCAAAGGATTACAAATCGTTCTACTATAAGGACACGTGCACACGAATGTTCATTGCAGCACTATTTACAATAGCAAAGACCTGGAACCAACCCAAATGCCCATCGACGATAGACTGGATAGGGAAAATGTGGCACATATACACCATGGAATATTATGCAGCCATCAAAAACGATGAGTTTGGGTCCTTTGTAGGGACATGGATGAACCTGGAAACCATCATTCTCAGCAAACTGACAGAAGAGCAGAAGATCAAACACCGCATGTTCTCACTCATAGGCGGGTGTTGAACAATGAGAACACATGGACACAGGGAGGGGAGCACTACACACTGGGGTCAGTTGGGGGGAAATAGAGGAGGGACGGTGGGGGGTGGGGAGCTGGGGAGAGATAGCAAGGGGAGAAATGCCAGATGTAGGTGATGGGGAGGAAGGCAGCAAATCACACTGCCACGTGTTTTCCTATGCAACAATTTTGCATGTTCTTCACATGTACCCCCAAACCTAAAATGCAATAAAATAAATAAATGGGAAAAAAAAAAGATGATTAAACTAGACCGAGTCACCACACCACTATTTCTCATATTATCTCACAGAACATTAATCTTGCAAAATGATCCAGAAATAAAGAATTCTTTGGCCATATTCCTCCACTTGAAGATTTATCATGCATATCAAAATATTAAATGCTCTGAAAGCTCCTCACTGAAGAAATCTGTTAAATTTTGTTTAACTCATTTTTTAATCATGAAATCCTGTTATCACATAACCTCTATTAATATCCTATGAAAACTGTCTTTCTGTGGAAAGTCACATTATCTAATTTCAAATTGAACTGATAATTAATTGTTCAAACGTTTTGGTTATGGAGTGAATAGACATTGTTCAGAATTTGTTTTCTAACTAAACCAAAACAGGGCCATATTCTCTACCTGTTCTTTGAGTTTATGTTCTTTGAGATTTCTTATGCAAAGAAGTTTCCTTTTTTTTTTTTTTTTAAATATCTTTTTCTTTTTTTTCTTTCTTTCTTTCTTTTCTTTTTTTTTTTTTTTTTTTTTTTTTTTTTTTTTTTTTTTTTTTTTTTTTTCTTGTTTTGTTTTTTTTCTTTTTTTTTTTTTTTGTTTTTTTTTTTTTTTTTTGATAATGGAGTCTGTCTCTCAGGCTGTAGTGAAGTGGTGTGATTTTGGCCCACCACAACCTCAGCCTCCCGGGTTCAAGCAATTCTCCTGCCTCAGCCTCCGGATTAGTTGGGATTCAGGCGCCCACCACCTCACATGCATGAGATGGCTAGGCGCAGTGGCTCATGCCTGTAATCCCAGCCCTTTAGGAGGCCGAGGCAGGTGGATCACGAGGTTGAGAGTTCAAGACCAGCCTGGCCAACATGGTGAAACCCTGTCTCTACTAAAAATACGAAAATTAGCCAGGCGTGGTGGCGGGCGCCTGTAATCCCAGCTACTCGGGAGGCTGAGGCAGGGAATTGTTTGAACCCAGGAGGTGAAAGTTGCAGTGAGTTGAGATCGCCTCACTGCACTCCAGCCTGGGTGACTGAGGGAGTCACAAAAAAAAAAAAAAAAAAGTAAATGAGGCTCTCTCAGGCCTGTAATCCCAGCACTTTGGGAGGCTGGGGCGGATCACCTGAGGTCCGGAGTTCCAGACCAGCGTGACTCACATGGTGAAACTCCATCTCTATTAAAAGTACAAAAATTAGCCGGGCATGGTGATGCGCGCCTGTAATTCTCAGCTACTCGGGAGGCTGAAGCAGGAGAATCACTTGAACCCAGGAGGCGAAGGTTGCAGTGAGCCGAGATCGCGCCTCTGCACTCCAGCCTGGGCGACAGAGCCAGACTCCGTCTCAAAAAACAAACCAACAAAAAAGGAAATGAGGTAAGGCATGTAAAGCCCCAGCTCAACCAGCGGCTCTGCAGGTGGCTCCCCGCGGCAACAGGGCTGCTTGTGCCTGTGTCGTACACTAGGGAAGAAGGGCCAGGGGCTGTAAATTACAGTCAAACTAAGACAATTTGTTATTTAAAGACCCGGCTCGTCCTAATAGAGATGTTTTTTAAAGTAAATAATGCAAGGAGGGAAATATTTAAATAGAAATCGTATTAGAATTGAGATACTCAAACTAGAACGAATCCGTTTTACATTTACTTTAACGTAATTGACAATACAAATTAAGTGGAGTTCAACGATTACTTTTCTAAATATAAAGATTGTGAGAAATAAAACGTGTTCATTTCTCCCTCGCAAACTTACATTTCTCCTGTGTTCCTTGTAAAAACATCATCTTTCCATCTGAGCTGGCAACTACAATGACCCGAAATCTAGGCACGTCGATTCTTTTTTTTCTGTTTGTATTAAATATTGAACATTATTAAAAATTAAATTACATTTAGCTGAATTTAATTACACACTTAATGAGTGACACTCATTGAAAACAATACATTGGCGGGCGCGGTGGCTCAGGCCTGTAATCCCAACACTTTGGGAGGCCGAGGCGGGCGGATTGCCTGAGGTCGGGAGTTCGAGACCAGCCTGGCCAAAGTGGTGAAACCCCATCTCTACTAAAGATATAAAAATTAGCCGGGCATGGTGGCACATGCCTATAATCCCACCTACTCGGGAACCTGAGGCAAGAGAATCACTTCAACCCAGGAGGTTGGAGGTTGCAGTGAGCTGAAATAGCACCACTGCACTCCAGCCTGGGCAACAGAGCAAGATTCGATCTCAAAAAAACAAAAAACAAAAAATACATTGACATGAAGTCAGGGCTGTCCTGGTAAATCCAAGGCGAGTGGTTTTCCTCCCACTACTGGCCAAGGCCACCCTGTCAGGCTCTGAAATATTCCGGGTATGAAGCTTAAATGCAGATTCGATTTATAGGATTCGAGGAAGTCCCACGTGCCCTCCCAGCCCTGACCTTCTGTACCCCTGAGGGACAAGGCCCAGAATTCTGCATTTCTATTAATCGCTGTAGTTTGGGGGAATTCATGAAGAGGAACAAAATGAGTGCTTATATTTCTGGAAGGAGACACACTAATGGGTGCTGTTACAGAATTACCTAATTATTAAGGCAGGGGAAAAAAAATAGTGAGCCTCTTACCTGCGCGGGAAACCTTGGATTAAGCCAAATTTGTCCTACTGACGGCCCGCGGGCCCATAAGACCCAGGACGGCTTTGAATGTGGCCCAACAGAAGTTCAAAAACTTTTTTTTTTTCTTTGCGATTTTTTTTAAAGCTCATCCACTATCCTTACTGTATTTCATGTGTGGCCCAAGACAATTCTTCTAATGTGGCCCAGGGAAGCCAAAAGTTTGGACACGCCTGGATTAAACCATTCTCCCTAGCGAGTTCCTATTGCAGAGAGAAAGAGAAGCTCAACTTCAAAATTTTACCTCAGATTCACTTATATCATTGCACATGTTTGTTTATTGTAATTTGTACTGTTGATTGCGTTGGGAAGGTGTAAGTTCTTTAACGAAATTTGGGACCAAATAAATTATATTTCTAAGAAAATTCCCCCCCTGCTCCTGGAAAGTGGAACAGTCCACTGGTTGTCCTTGGGGTCTAGGATCAATCAGTTCAACTAGTGGCTCGGCAGGTGGCTCCGCACGTGGCTTCCTGGCTGCCTGAGCTTGTTTTGTGCATTAGGGAAGAACGGCGAGGGGCCATACTTCACAGTCCAGCGGAGGCAATCTTCTTATTTAAAGAGAGGGCTCACCGTAACAGAGATTTTTTTTGTAATCGAAATAATGAGAGAAAATACTTAAAAAGAAATTGTATTAGTATTGAGGTAAACTACAATGAATCAGTTTTATTTTTACTTTTACATAATTGATGATGTAAATTGAATGGAGTACAATGATTACTTTTCTAAATATAAAGATTGTGAAAAATAAAATGTGAAGTTTATTTTTTCTAACGAAGATAGCTTTGTATTTTTCTAATTTTAATTATAGTATACGATAATTGTTTTAAAAAATCAAAACAGTACACAAAGGCATAAAAGGAGAAAGAAAAATCACCTGAAATCTTACCACTTTGAGATAATCACTGCTAAAATTTTGCTGAGCAATTTTCGAATCATCTTATAATGCATATACACACACATATACATATAATTTTACATAAGCTGGATAATTCTGTATACATAGTGTTTTGTATGCTGCTTTCTAATGCAATAGCATGTTGTATATATTTTCGTATGTCATTAAATGTAGGTCGACATTATTTTTTCTATAACTGCATAGTATCATCAAACATAAAGCTATTTAATCAATTCCTGTTAAAGGATAATTCGATTGTTTCCAATTCATTTAATAGCAAGTAAGCAGTGCTGGAGAGAATATTCTCTTACATAAAAAGTTGAGTACTTGCAGGGTTATCTTCTAAGAATAAATTTCTAGAAATGGAATTGCTGGATCAAAAAATATGCCTACTGTATTAAAAATTTTGGTACACATTTTCTAATTGTCCTTAAGAAACATGATATCCATTTCTAACGCACAATGTCATTGTTACCAATCCTTTCCAGCTTTGACAAGCCAAAACATTTTTCTTTATTGTTAAGTCAAATATATTTTCTTACAATTACTGTCCATTTGCATTTCATCTTCTGACTTTGTTCATGTCATTTACATTTTTTTTATTGTGGCAACCATCTATCTCTTAATTATTTATAGGAACAATTCATAGTTAAGAATATTAACCTTTTGTTTTTAATAACAAACATGCTAATAATTAATATTAATAAACACATTTTCCCAATTTATTATCTGCCTTTTAATTTTTATTATTGTGTATTTTATACATATAATCATTTAAAGTGAACAGATCTATATATTTTTAATAAACCTTACTATTTGAGTTTGGAATTGTATTTTAAAATATAGGAATAGACAGAATTATAAATTAGGTGTCTTTTCTCAGGTTATCAGCTCCACTATTTTCTGAGGTATGTCAGTAACTCATTTGATTGATTTATCACTTGCCCTTCCACAAGCAGTTTTATCAAAGTAAAATGTCACAGCCTAGCAAAACTGTAACAGAAAGTAACCCTAATTTAAATCTAATCGAAGGATTTGCACACCTACAATAAGGGGCAATTTAAGAGACAATTCATTTTCCCATTATTCTATTTTTTTTTTCAGATATTGAGAACTTTCACACATTTTCTAGACTGCCTGAGGAAGGCATTCCACCCTGAAGTCTAGAATACCAGAAAAGCACACCAGGCTCTAGAACCTTTCCTGACAAACATTATATTCTAGTAATTATGAGCAAGTATGTGACCTATTGCTTTAGGATAATAATAGTCACTATCAACTGCCACTGTTTTAGATAAAACCTCCATGAACATTGTTTTATGAAAAGCTTTTTTATTCTTTTAAATTGTCTTTGAAAAATTTTCAAAAGTGGGATTATTGGATCAAAGGATAGAAACAGCTATATAACTCTTGTTACCTAGTACCATATTGTTCTCCAAATGAGCAATACCAACCCTGTTTCTATATTTATTCCATCTCAACTTTATTGAGTGTTATTAATAATTATTTTTGGCCAGGTGTGATGGCTTATGCCTGTAATCCCAACACTTGGGAAGCCAAGGTGGGGAGATTGCTTGAGCCCAGGAGTTTGAGAGCAACCTAGGCAACATGGTGAAAACCCATCTCTACAAAAAAATACAATCATTAGCCAGGTGTGGTGGTATGCTCCTGTAGTCCCAGCTACTGGGAGGCTGAGGTGGGAGGACCGCTTGAGCCCCAGAGGTGGAGGCTGCAGTGAGCCATGATCTCGACACTGCACTCCTGCCGGGGTGACAGAGTGAGATCCTGTCTCAATTAAAATAATAATTGTTGTTGTGAGCTTGCTAAGCATAGAAGGGACATTTATTGTACTTTTAATACTTTTAAAAATAATTTCCACATGCATTAGGTTGCCCAGTTTTGGGGATATATTTTGTATTAAAAAATTAATCATGATAAAATTTGCTCCATATTTCTAGATATTTTTTAAAGACAGGAACAACTAGAAAAATCTGACTTTTTAAAATAAGGAAAATATACCTTTTTGAGCAGAAAAATAAGTAAAAATGTAAAATAATACATTCTGTCCTAAATCCTTGGATTCACTTTCCATTAATCTCTGAAGGCATTTCACATGTAATCAGATTAAGAATTGGGCCAATTGCAGCTAGAATGATCTTTTTAAAATACAATCTCAAAATAGTTTTCATAAAAGTCCCAGATTCTTAACATTAACTGTTCAGCTCTTCCATGATCAGACATCTGTCTCCTCCTTCAGTGAGCGCCCAGCTTGCAACCCTCACTCTTTTTTTTTTTTTTTTTTTCTTTTTTTTTGAGATGTCACCAGGCTGGAGTGCAGTGGCTCGATCTCGGCTCACTGCAACCTCTGCCTCCCAGGTTCAAGCAATTCTCCTGCCTCAGCTTCCTGAGTAGACTACAGGCGCACCACCATACCCGGCTAATTTTTGTATTTTTAGTAGACACTGAGTTTCACCATGTTGGCCAGGATGGTCTCGATCTCTTGACCTCGTGATCCACCCGCCTCGGCCTCCCAAAGTGCTGGGATTACAGGCATGAGCCACGGCCCTCACTCTTAATGCTGGTCGTCTCTTAGTTCATAGAATCTTTTGTCTTTAGTACCCACTATGGTGTTTCCTCTGACTTAAGGGTTTTTCTGCACCCTCACCTAACAGGTCTTCATTCATCAGAGGTCTCTTGGAACATCATGTATTTTCAACTAGGTGGCCAGGAAAGAATTTCTAAAACATGGCAATTACAGAGATCACGTTAGGAAAAATAATACAGCCACATATGGCTAGGTCTCTCCCAGGAGTCTCAGGTAAATCAGGGGTCTTGAAACTCAGCTCCACAGTAAGTCTACTTCTTGCTGTAATAATACTTGCCTTACCTGCATCATAGGTCATGAGGATCAAAAGAGATAATGTATCTGGAAACAAATTGAAATTTAAAGCAGTACCCAGTTACCATTTTTCTTGATGTTTTGCTTGCTATAAGAACAATAATAAATGTTTGATTTCAATTAATTGACAAATATTACCTAAATTGACAAATCTAATCAATTGTTCATTAAATTTATGGACTATTCTACTCTTTAGAGGCTGTTAGCTTATCTGTACGATGTATTAAATTGGCCAGAAAAATACATTTTTATTGAATTAATACAATTTTCCTCAAGGCTAGTAATTGTATTTAAAAATATCTTTGAGTGGGCCCATGGCATCCTTCAATAAAAGCAGTTAAATTGTTATATATGATAAGAAGGATCATTAAGACTATTTTCTGGTTATTAATAGATATTGGTTAGTTGTTAGATACTCACTACAACATAATTGTAAAACAGAGAGTCAAATTGATCAGTGACAAAGAAGATACATAAGGGAAGTGAGGTGAGCCAAAGGCAGGATGGTAGGTTTTTGCAGAGGAGATGGAAGAAAGATGACAAATTTCATTTACTTTGCAGGTTGTCTGTGGGCTACTCTGGGACCAAAGGTCATAATGATGAACATCATTTTTCTATACTCGTATGGCATAATTTTGTTATTTTACTTTTCAATTGCTTCAATTGTGTGCAAGTGGAAATTTATTCTATTTTGTAGTTGAAAGCAAAACGAAGCTCTAATGGGCATTCATCTTGAGAATCTATAAAAACTTATGATAACCGTGCATTATACATATGACTCCAAAAATTTCAAATTATTTCTCTTATTTATTTATTTGACAAATGTTTATTGAACACCTAATAAATATTTATTGGGGAGCCATTTTAAGTGCTAAGGATGCAGTGATGAACAAGAGTTTATATTCTAGTGGGTGGAAACAGCCAAAACATAAAATAACAAATAAATATTAAATATAGAAGTGCAATAAGTGCTGTTAAGAAAAATAAAGAGGATGGTTAATGATGGCGGTTGGTCAGGGCCAGGCCTGTCTGTGGGGATAGCATTTAGGGAGAGACATGAATGAATTGGAGGGTGAGCCGTATGTGTGTCTGGGCCCAAGTTCCCAAACAGACGGAAAACAAAGGTTAGGCCAAGGTGCGATGGAGCTTTGCATGTTGTAGAATAGCAAGAAGGCTTTTTGTTTTTGGAAAAATGAAATTTCTTGAAGATTAAATCAAATAGCAAATCCCTATTCTTTGGAACTTACATTATACCAGGGGGAGGGAGATAAATAAAATGAATCAACCATCACATAAATACATGTCTGGTGGTGATAAGGTCTATGAAAGAAAGAGCAGATCGGGAGAAGCAGGAAGGGAGAAAAAGGAGCACTATTTTAGATAGACTGATGAGACAAGACTCCTTAGAGGAGATAACATTCAGCAGAATTCTCAATGAAGGGATGGAGGGCAATGAACTATGCAGATATGCAAGGGGAAGTGTCATAGGCAGTGAGTGCAAAGGCCCCGAGATGCTTAGAGAGATGCAAGGTGTCTAGAGAATTAGCTAGGAGAAAAGTGGTAAGAGATGAGGTCAGATCTGTAGCCAAGGACAGAACTGCTTGGGGCTTGTATGTTTTTAGATTTATTCTCAGTGAGGTGGGATGCCAGTAGATAGTTTTGAGCTTTGATATAAGTAACATTTTAGAAAGATCACTCTTTCTGCTGTGTTTAGGGGACAAGAGTGGAAACTGGGACTCCAGTCAGGAAGTTAACTGTGGTAGTCCAGGTGAGAGGCAAAGGTGTTTGGGGTAGTGGAGGTGTAGTAGAAAGGGGTAAGTGTTTGTATATGTTTTGAATGTAGAACTGACAGAATTTAAAAAATAGATTAGCTGTGGGGTATAAGAAAATAAGTACCAATTGGAAAGCATTTGCAAAAATTCAGACAGGATTATGTAGTATTTATACATGTAATTATTTGAAATGCTTACCTCTTAATTATTCAAAGATGTTATTAACAACACAAATATAAATTTGATGAATTCATTTAAGTTCTTTTAAAAGTGAATATCTGACTGAAAGGAAAATGCAAAAAATAATTGTCTTGGTTTTGGCTTTTATTTAGCATCTGGCCATATAAGTAACACTTAAAATTAAACCATCTGGCAACAAATTCACCAATTACTTGATGAGCTGAGCACTGTACTAAGAACTGAAGACACAGATCAATAAAGTTCAATCTGGAGTCATGTTTAATTATTTTGTGGTAGGTACTCTTACAATAATATCCTCGCTAGTGTCAGAAACATAGAATCATATAATATTGGCTGGGCACAGTGGCTCACGCCTGTAATCCCAGCACTTTGGGAGGCCGAGGCAGGCAGATCGCAAGGTCAAGAGATGGAGACCATCCTGGCCAACATAGTGAAACCCCGTCTCTACTAAAAATACAAAAATTAGCTGGGCATGGTGGGGCTCGCCTGTAGTCCCAGCTAGCGGGAGGCTGAGGCAGAAGAATTGCTTGAACCCGGGAGGCGGAGGTTGCAGTGAGCCGAGATCTCGCCACTGCGTTCCAGCCTGGCACCTGGTGACCGAACAAGACTCTGGCTCAAAAAAAAAAAAAAAAAAAGAATCATATAATATTATAGTATTTTTTCTTTTTTAGATAGAGGGATAAGGGATGAGGGGGGCGGGTCTCACTATGTTCCCCAGGCTGGAGAATAGTAGCTATTCACCCAGAGGCTAATCATGCACTATGGCCTGGTATCTCCTGAGCTGGAATGATACTCCAGCCTCAGCCTCCCAAGCAGCTGGGACTACGGGCATGTACCCGACTTGCACAGTATTTTTTTTTTTTAGAAATAACAATGTTCCCTATTGTAACGCTGATGTGGGGAAATAGGAAATAGGGCTTCCTTATAGGGTGACTTAGTTGTTACAACCTTTATTTATAAATTATTTTAATTTTCATGAGATAGAGTTTGACACCTTGAATTACTATAAAATCTATGTTATGTAATAATGAACTATGATAAAAGAGTTTTGATATACAATTGATTCAAGTTAATGATGCTTGATTTAGGTGTTTTTTCAGTCACCAGATTATCTATACTATTCTAAAGAATCCATTACTACATGTGGGAGTGTTGCTCACACCTGTAATCCCAGCACTTTGGGAGGCCAAGATGGGTGGATCACCTGAGGTCAGGAATTCCAGACCAGCCTGGCCAACATGTGAAACCCCGTCTCTACTAAAAATACAAAAATTAGCTGGGTGGGTGGTGCACACCTGTAATCCCAGCTACTCAGAAGGCTGAGGTTGGAGAATCTCTTGAACCCAAGAGGTAGAGGTTGCAGTGAGCTGAGATTGCTGCCCCTGCACTCCAGCCTGGGTGACATAGTGAGACTCTATCTTAAAAAAACCCAAAAACTAAAACAAAGCAAAACAAAACAAAACAAAAAAGAATCCATTACTATACAACTTTATGTTATCAGCTTTTGTAATAAACTAGCCAGGATTGTTATCTGGTTATTTCAGAAACATTCTTAATTCATTCAGTAAATGTTGTACTACCTTTTAGAACTGCAGTTCTTAAAGAATATGTTGCAGTACTTAAAGAAAAAAAAGAAATGTGAGGGCGGGCAAGGTGGCTCATGCCTGTAATCCGAGCACTTTGGGAGGCCGAGGCGGGCAGATTGCCTGAGGTCAGGAGTTAGAGACGAGTCTGACCAACATGGTGAAACGCTGTTTCTACTAAAAATCCAAAAAAATTAGGATCGCACCACTGTACTCCAGCCTGGGCGACAGAGCAAGACTTCTCAAAAAAAAAAAAAAAAAAAAAATGCATCACTTCCATTCTTTATATAATGTCAAGGGTATCATTGCTGGTACTTTTTCTCTAAGAATTGTGTGATACTGGCCAGGTGCTGTGGCTCACCCCTGTAATCCTAACACTTTGGGAGGCCGAGGTAGATGGATCACCTGAGGTCAGGAGTTTGAGACCAGCCTGACCAACATGGTGAAACCCTGTCTCTACTAAAAACACAAAAGGTCAGCTGGGTGCAGTGGAGTGTGCCTGTAATCTCAGCTGCTGGGAGGTGAAGGCAGGAGAATTGCTTGAACAATGGAGAAGGTGAAGGTTACAGTGAGTGGAGATCCTGCATTTGCTCTCCATCCTGGGCAACAAAAGCAAAACTCCGTCTCAAAAAACAAAACAAAACAAAACAAAAAGAATTATATGATACCTCAGTGAACGCCTATTAGTGCCACTTAGCTAATTGCTATGATAATCTCAAGTCTAACTTTAGTTTATTTTACCAAATTACAGATGTAGGTTAAGATATTTTTAATGAATTGATTTTTTAAAAATTAAACTGTCCTTTATTCTTGCTGTTGGTTTACTAATCAATGAATAATTTTTTTAATGCTGATTTGGGGATCAAAAGATGAAGTTACACTTACAATGTATGCCTGTTATGCTTCTGAATCATATTTTGTGCATTATTTTTACATATATTTTAAAACAAATTAACATTGGGGGAGTGACCATTGAGTTTTTCTTAGGACTCGTGCAATTCTTTTCTT